GTATTTCTGCCACACGGCTTTTAAGCTTTCTGTCCCATCTCCCAGAAGGCTCTTCCCATAGGCATTTGGACGGCTTGTGTTAACTTGGTACCCAAATGTCAACTCAACTGAGAACCCTTCCCTCACCCTCCTGCTGAAGGAGAAGAGTCCCCATCTCTGTCTGTCGTCTATCATGTCAATAGTTGACCCTGAATTCTACCACAGCATGTCTGCTTACTGTGGAACACAAACTACATGAAGGTCAAACTTGTTCCATTAGCCACTGTGCTCTGGTTCAAACAATACACTGAGCGAGTGGAGGACTATTATTAGTCTTTCATGTTTGCTTGAATCCTGAAGCTATGTAGAGAATTCCTAAGATTCTTATTAGCCTGATGATCAAATGACATTCACTTAGTCCAGAAGGTTTAAAAGCAGGTATTTGGTTCACAGAAGACACAAAGACAAATTCAGACAGTGTCCTTCCCAGAGCTGAGTCCTTAAACAGCTTTCTCCTGGTTGAAATAACCAGAAAGGATATTAATTTATAATATATTCAGAACAGAAATGGCTTCTTCCATGCTTCTGCCTTAATGACCTGGAAGCCACACTCAGATTGAAAAAAAAAAAAAAAAACAAAAACAAAAAAAAAAAAACTTTATATTTTCTTGAAGTCAGTTCCCAATGTATCTGGCACTATGGTAGGCTGTGGGCTTAGAGGAAGGATCTAAGCAAGAAAAAAAAAAAAGAAAAAGAAAAAGGAAAAGAAAGTCTGACACAATGAAAATTACTGGTTGGGGGAGACGGGGGGATAAGCTGCCTATAACTGCAGCACTGAGATACAGAGTCAAAGTGGTGGTCAGCTACACACTGAGTTCCGGGCTAGTGAAGGCGCCATGAGACTCCACCCCTACGAGATCTTGTGGTATCTACCCTGTAAGTCAAAGTGTTGGCAATAAGGTTTATGATTACTATACATCAAGGGCACATAAAATATGATTATGTTTTCTGCCCTTCTTGAGACATGTATTAAATGTCATAAGAAAGGCATTTTGACAGCTGATTGGGTATTTTCCCTTAAAATACACAGAGAAGACAGAATAGCCTAATAGGTGCCAATGTGCCCACTACCTAGACTTAACCATAGTTAATGCGCCTTCATTCTGGTCCCATCTAAACACGATTACCGAATTTCCTCCTCCAAACACTGCTGCATTCTCACATTGCAGCCCTGTACAAACGAGCTCTCTTGAATCTAAGTCGACGGTCCATGTTTCCCTCTGACCAAAGCTTAATATTTTCCCAACTTCATTTAGAAATAAAGATTATAATTTAAGAGGTCAAGAAAAATTAATGACAGGCTCCAGAATTCCCTGGTGCTATTTGATAATAATACCGGCCAGTATGCTTCCATGGCGTGTGATACACGCTAATAACATAGCTAGTGTTTTTTAAAACTCTGCATGGGAAGAGATAAGGAAAGTCAGAGTGACTTGACTGCACCTGTTATCTGAGCATTTGGCATTCTTTGCAAGTGCCATGGCCAGGAAGCCTATCAATAGATGACAGGGGAGAATGCAAATTGCATTATCATCTTCAATGTGCTAATACACACGGGTGCTGAAAATCCAACTGAAAGAGGGTTGAGCTTATTAAATGTGGCATGCTGCAATTTCCATACCAGACCCTCCGGATGTGAGAAGCACGAATGAGGATGGGGAATGAGCAGACCAGGAGGGGACGCAGAGGCAAAATGCCGTGAACCCTTTGACTGTCCAGTTGGCCAGCTGTGGAAAGAGTGATACTCAGTGTCATGATTGACTTTTTCCTAAAACAAATCTGGCTTTGCTTCTCCTCTGCTGCCTTCTGGAACAGCGGGGACGACAGCATGCCTGAACCTAGCTGATCATTCTGTGCACAGGCCCTGTCAGCCTCCCAGCAGTAAGGTGAGCGGGATACTGACTGCTGGACATTGCTGGCAGCAACAGAAGAAGCTGACTCCATCTTTAGAAAGAGGATCTCCGGAAACCAGATTATCACCTATAGTTAATTCCGACACAAAATCCTTTTCTCCCCTATACTGGGAACTGGGATTTCTCCTAGGTAGCCGTTAGTCTCATCATGCCTCCTTGTACATGTTTGTTGCCTTCCATGACATTAAATATTTAAAGGAAGTAACAGTATAACAGCATTTAACTTGTTTTAAATTAGGGGGTTCTGGTAGGCATACAATGTTGGATTAATGGCATGTCAAGAGAATAATTCAACACCTGGAGTATGACAAAGTACAAAATACAGCTAAGCACAAGAATCCTGGATTAGAATGTTAGTATGTCACATTTACCAAATAAACGCCAAAATACTGAAAACATATTCCAACCATTGCTTATAAGATACATAAGCAGTATAGCTTTCGGCTTTTGAATATGGAAACTGAAAAACACACACAAGCCAACAGAATAGTGTAACAAGCTCCAACATCTCTTATGTCACCCAGATTCAACTGTAAGCAGCATCCCTTCACTCTAGTTCCATCTAACCGTCAACCCACTCACTTTTCTGTCATTCTACTGTCTTTAAAGTAAGATATTCATGTGCATGGGAAGGCATAAATATTAAATATACAGTTTTGATGACTGAAGTCATTATGAAACCCACACACCTAAGGCCACAGACTATTGTGTCTCCTTAGTTATGCTACAGAGTAGTCCATCTCCTCTGGAAGCCCCACCTGTTACCCTCTCAGGTAAGGTTCCCACAGGTGGTATAATACCATCTTCTACCAGAAGACACATTTTCTCCAGAAAGGGAAAGAAAAGGCGGAATAGAACCTCTATGTCCTCAAATCAAACATGCTTTGCAGCTCAGGCCACACAGAGGCTTACAGTCTGCTCTCTACAAAACGACGGGGCCAGAACCTGCCACCCCGGCCTCTTTCTCTTCAGATAACCTTCAGCCAGAGAGCCCAGGTAGAGACCGACTCAACAATCCCCAGTCAAAAGCCTCGCGTCTGGATTTATCTTCTCACTTGTTTCAACGCCCACCACCCAGGTCAGTGGCTCCACACACACTCCCCAAGAACGAAACAGCAGTATGACCTGTGATGAGGCAGGAAAGGGAGTCACTTACATTAGTAAGTGAGAGCACTGGGTAATGACATTAAGAGCATTCAATAAGTATTCGTGGCAGAGAAGTGGCTCGGAGCTCATCTACTGATTCTAACTGTAATGGCATCGTAATGCAGACAAGAGTGCCAGCTATCAGCATTATCCACAGCCGACCTCTAGAGATTTCTTTGTTTTTGAGAACTTCATACGTGTATCTAATGAAATACGATCATATCTACCCTTTATTTCTCCATCCAAGTTCTCACCTGTCTCTTCCAATAGGCTCCTCCCAACTCCATGACTTTTTTTTTTCTTTAATAACTCATTAAGTCCATTTAGTGCCACTCTTACGTGCACAGGTGTGGGGACGGCCCCTGGAGCACAGGCAGCCTATCAGTGGCCGCATCTCCTGGCAACTGTCCACAGCCAGTCGCTTCTCAGAAAGGGGTGGTGCCCGGAAACCATCCCCCTACCACCATCACCTACTGCTGTCAGCCAAGCCTTTTGTTCATGTCCACTTAAGTATTGTTTTGTTTTGTTTGTTTGTCTGTTTTTGTTCTAGCTCCTTCACATGGTGGTGGAATCCCTTCCTTCTCCTTCCTGAGTCTCCAGCTGGGCTCGTGAAGAAACCTAACCAACAGTTCTGCCTGGGGAGGACGCTTCCACCCTGACTCCTGCTTCCCTGCTCCTTCCCCTCAAGGCAGAACTGGGGTTCCTGTGATCAGGGAGAGCCTTTAGGTGGTGCTGAGAGAAAACAGCCTTATCCTTCAGCGTGCAGGCTCTTCCTTAGACAGAGTTCGGCTGACCAGGCAGGTCTCTGCTGTTAGCTTTTCATTCCCTGCTGTGTTTGAGAGAGATCGTAAGGTAAGTGCAGTTCTTTATTAGTGGAGATCGGGATACCCCCATCTCAGCCTTGAGCCCCGGCTATGCTTTTGCTATGACTGAGATTGGCTATGATCAATATTTGAATTTAGGTTTCTTTCCCAGGTAGGCAAGAACTCTGGGAGGAAAAATATACGACCCACTAGTATCCCAAACACCTAAAGCCATAGTCTTTATCCTTTTTCTCAGCTCACTGCATTCAGACTATCCCTTTCCTTTATTGGTGATGCTTTGACTGTACACAGTATAAACCTGCAGAGTTAGAGGCAAGCAGGGAGTGTCCAGCAGGATCAGGCTTACTCACACCCTAGCAACTTAGGACTCTTGGACACCCTCATCACCGGACGATTCTTTGTTCATCACTAATAGCACGGTACCGCCTCCCCTCTGTCCACCCTCTTTCCTTCTCTCATCTCCACCATCTCTAATAAAAATGCCACCTATAGCACCGCCAACGCCAGGTCTGCTGCTCTGTTTGTTCATGGATTGTCCTCTGGGATCCACAGGTGGGAGGTTGGTCTTCAGCATGGTGCTATTGGGAGGTGGTATCCCTTTAAGAGATGGAGCCTCGGGGAGATCATTGCTGGTCCTTCTGCAAGTTGTAGCTTCCTTTATTACCATCCCATCTTTCCTTTGTAGATGATGCCATCCACCATGAGGTAACTCAGCTAAGGGAGGAGCTTGGGCTTGCTGGATTAAAGCTGTGCTGTCTGAGTGTCAGCCTCTGAGACTGGGAGCTGGATAAATCCCTTCTTTACACAGGCCCATGCTCAGGTATTCTGCCACACTAACAAAACCATCAACAAAACCCAGACGAATACAACTACCACCACCAACAAACACCATTGCCAATTCTACTACCAATGTCAAGAGCCACCAATATGACCCTCACCACCACCACCAGCACAGCCCACTTCTAATACCACCAACACTCTCGTAAACACTGGCAGTCCTGTGACTGTTTTGAGTTGAGCTACAGAGTAAAATAAATATTCATTTCTTTTATTTTATTTTTACCAGTGTTGCCATTACCTTGTTCTCCTCTGGAATGAAGAGGATGCGGAATATAGTTGGCACTCCTGGGGCTACCTTGTGGCCAATGTCTTTGGGGCTGATGACTTTAAAGTAAGGTGAACTTTCTTCAACAACTTTCACCATCCTTGGGATCTGCAGGAGAAACACATGATAGTGACAGTAACTATGAGTGAAAGGCAGAGGAAATGCACAAACCGCAGAGCTGAATGCAGTAAGGCTCCCATCCACTACTTGCTAGAAGTGTGGCCTTGATCTCAACTGCTTCAACTACAAAGGGAGATCATGTCTACCCTCATCCTAAGGGCTCCAACTCTCAGTCTTTAAGACATAGTGACCCTACTTTTCCTAACATTATTACTGCTCATATTTGTTAGTATTCAAAGTCTTTGTTCATTTTATAGCTGGAATGACTATCTTCTGGAGTGAACTGCTCAATACAGACCTCCCCAACGCAGCAGAGGTAAGCTGCCTGTCTCAACATTTGGAAAGTGCCTGGGGAGAAGACACCCCCACAGTGCTGTTGGGACCATCCCCAGGACATGATGCTCCATTCCGTTCACATAGCTTTTGGGTATCGCTGCAATACCAGGCTACAGAGAACTGTGGGACCACTTCACCAAGCAATGGCTATTGAAAGGCAGCCCCCAGCCTGACTCCACCTATCCTCTTCATCAGAGCATCAACAAGAAGTAAGAACCAAAAGCAGAACGGATAACCCTTAGCATATCTCAGGGAAGCTCCAAACTGTTTTGTCCTTTCAAGGTTTTAGCCTCTGTTCCCCTGGACTTGCCCAGAGCCATGTAGCTCCATCCCAGATGGGGTAAACAAGAAATGCAGTCACATGGCAAGTGGGAGTGGTCAGGGGGGAGGATCTACACACACACACACACAGAGAGAGAGAGAGAGAGAGAGAGAGAGAGAGATTCCATCCCTCAGTGCTGGGATGGCAGGTGTGTGTCACCTTACTTGCCAAAGATTTTTTTTAATGGCTCAAAATAATAGAAGAAAGTTACATACAACTGCGTTAACTAGTCAGAAGATGACCTGAAGTCACAAGGGAAAAGTGAAGAGAAAAGAACTCCCATTACCTTGAAAAGCTGTATTTATAGAGAAACACATAAAGGCCAGAGAAATATCTTAGGGGCAGAGAGTGGGGAGTCAAGGAACACGCATTGGGCCACGGGTAGTGGCACAGGCTTCTAAGAGGTAGGCAGATGCTCAAGGCTACCTTGTTCTGTATATTGAGACCCTTGAGACAGAGTGGGGGGAATGTCACATTTTAGACAGGAAAAGAATAGCACGTGTGTTGGGCTTCCTTTATCAAGAGTAAAACTGGAATATAAAATGGCTTGAGCTTAAGAACACACGCTCAGTTCCAAGCACCCATGTTGAGTGGTTCAAAATTGCCTGTAACTGGAGATCCAGGAACACCTAATACTTCTGGTCTCCACAGGCCTTGAAGGAAGGAGAAAAGAGAGCTTATGTAAGCCTCTCAGAATACAGCCTGGTGTAACTCACATGAGAACACAGCTGCCTAGCCTGGAGAAAACTATCTGCTTGTAGATAATTGAACTTTCCCTGGTTGAGGAGTTTTCTCAAGGCTTTGGTTGCATCTCACCCAAGAGGTGTTGGGCTGTCCATAAAAACTGTGCCCTTTGAAAGATGAAATGTATATATTCCCCTGACCCCTGACTTCTTCATCTATGCCTATTGATAATCACTTCTTGTTTTGAGTCAGGATGAATTACCAAAGGGCCTTTGGCCTACTCCCTCTCCATCATTACTAGCCTAATAAAACCTTTTTAAAAAGTGTAAAACAGTAATAAAAGAAAGAAAAAGATTCCCTGTGCTCTGCCCAGTTTAGTGTCTCAGCATCTGCTTTGATACACTGCTGGGGAGAATCTTTCAGAGGCCTTCTGTGGTAGGCTCCTGTCCTGTTTTCCTGTTTTCTTCTTCTTCCAATGTCCATCCCATTTGTCTTTCTGAGTGAGGATTGATCATCTTACCCAGGGTCCTCCTTCTTGCTTAGGTGTACAGATTCTTTAGGTGTACAGATTTTAGTATGTTTATCCTATATTATATGTCTAGTATCCACTTATTAGTGAACATATAGCATGTGTATTTTTCTGCGTCACTCAGGATGATCTTTTCTAGTTCCCACCATTTGCCTGCAAATTTCATGATTTCCTTGTTTTTAATTGCTGAGTGGTATTCTACTGTGTAAAAGTACCACAATTTGTATCCATTCCCCAGTTGAGGGGCATCTGGGTTGTTTCCAGCTTCTAGCTATTACAAATAAAACTGCTGTGAACATGGTTGAGCAAATGTCCTTGTTGCATACTTGAGCAAATTTTGGATATATGCCTATAGCTGGATCATGAGGAAATACTATTCCTTTTTATTAAATTTTTATTTTTTATATTAACTAGTTTATTTACTTTGTATCCCAGCTGTAACCCCTCCCTCATTCCCTACCAATCCCATCCTTCCTCCCTCATCTCCTCCCTGCCCCTCTCTAAGTCCACTGATAGGGGAGGTTCTCCTCCCCTTCCATCTGACCCTAGCTTAACAAGTCTCATCAGGACTGCCTGCAATGTCCTCGTCTGTATCCTAGCTAGGCTGCTCCTCCCATGGTGGGTGAGGAGGTCAAAGAGCCAGCCATTGAGTTCATTTCAGAGACAGTCCCTGTTCCCCTTACTAGGGAACCAGCCTGGACACTGAGCTGCCATGGACTATGTCCGAGCAGGGGTTCTAGGTTATATCCATGCATGGTCCTTGGTTGGAGAATCTGTCTCAGAAAAGACCCCTGTGACCAGATATATTTGGTCCTTGTGGAGCTCCTGTCCTCTCCAGGTCTTACTAACTCCCCCTTCTTTCATATGATTCCCTGCACTCTGCCCAAGGTTTGGTTATGAGTCTCAGCATCTGCTTTGATACACTGCTAGGTAGAGTCTTTCAGAGACCCTCTGTGGTAAGCCCCTGTCCTGTTTCTTGTTTTCTCCTACTTCCAATGTCCATCCCATTTGTCTTTCTAAGTGAGGATTGATCATCTTGCCCCAGGTCCTCCTTCTTGGTTAGCTTCTTTGGGGGTATAGATTTTAGTAAGTTTATCCTATCTTATAGGTCTCGCATCCACTTATAAGTGAGCATATACCATGTGTGTCTTTCTGCTTCTGGGATACCTCACTCAGGATGATCTTTTCTAGATCCCACCATTTGCCTGCAAATTTCATGATTTCCCTGTTTTTAATTGCTGAGCAGTATTCTATTGTGTAAATGTACCACAATTTCTGTATCCATTCCTCTGTTGAGGGACATCTGGGTTGTTTCCAGGTTCTGGCTATTATGAATAAAGCTGCTATGAAAATGGTTGAATAGATGTCCTTGTTGTGTACTTGAGCAAATTTTGGATATATGCCTAGGAGTGGTATAGCTGGATCTTGAGGAAACACTATTCCTAATTGTCTGAGAAAGCACCAGATTGATTTCCAAAGTGGTTGTACAAGTTCACATTCCCACCAGCAATGGAGGAGGGTTCCCCTTTCTCCACAACCCTCCAGCATGTGTTTTCACTTGAGTTTTTGATCTTAGCCATTCTGATGGGTGTAAGATGAAATCTCAGGGTCGTTTTGATTTGCATTTCCCTGATGGCTAAGGACATTGAGCATTTCTTTAAGTGTTTCTCTGCCATTCTATATTCCTCTATAGATAATTCAAACTTTGGGCAGAGTGCAGGAAATCTTAGGAAAGAAGCAGGAGATAGAAAGACCAGGAGAAGACAGGAGCGCCACAAGGAGAGCAACAGAACCAAAAAATCTGGGCACAGGGGTCTTTTCTGAGACTGATACTCCAACCAAGGACCATTCATGGAGATAACCTAGAATCCCTGCTCAGATGTAGCCTTTGGCAGCATAGTATCCAAGTAGGTTCCCTAGTAAGGGGAACAGGGACTGCCTCTGACATGAACTTAGTAGCTGCTCTTTGATCCCCTTCCCTTGTGAGGGGAACAGCCTTGTCAGGCCACAGAGGGGGACAATGCAGCCACTCCTGATGAGACCTGATAAGCTAGGGTCAGATGGAAGGGGAGGAGGACCTCCCCTATCATTGGACTTAAGAGAGGGGCAGGGAGGAGATGAGGGAGGGAGGGGATTGGGAGGGGAAGAGGGAGTGGGCTACAGCTGGGATACAAAGTAAATAAACTGTAATTAATAAAAAATAAAATTTTAATAAAAAAAGTAAAGAAAGAGAAAAAGAATTCTATATAGGAAAAAGAATCTGTTGGCAGCCTCATGTAAAAAGTTTAATATCTACACACTGTGGCTCTTCTTAACTTGGCGATATGACCCTGGGCACCTTCATTTCTTTCTCATCTCTCCATCACCTTAGCTTCTGCTATGAGCTTCTCTTGCTAATAACACTGCAGCCAGAAACAAACAAACAAACCCACATTCCAAATGTGCCATTGTCTCCAGAGTAGCTTTGCTGGCACTAAATTACCCTATTGATCTCAGAAAGGCATCACTGAGTTCTTTAATGACCTGATGTGCTGATCATACCTCCAAGTCTTCCCACTTGTTTTGGGTCCCTGCACAGCCTTATTTTCTCATTTTTCTTGTAGCTCAACTGTTTCTCTTGCCTTCCTATTCCTGGACTCCTATTTGTCTCTCCTTCAGAGTATTGCCTAGTTGTTCCCCTTTCGCAAACCATCTGAATATTTTTGTACTTAACTGTGCTTAAAGCTTCTGTTATTTTCAGGTGTCAAAGGGAATCCTGTGGCACTGAACTCTGTTCTTTGCAACAAACCCTCGTTTATACTTAAAGAAAAAGACATAAGGCTGGGGAGGAAACGTTCAGTTGCAATTACAAAGGAGCATGCACGGATATGGAGGTAGGCCTTCTGTAGACAAAGTCTGAAGGCTATTTCATAAATAGAACAGGAGAAGACCACAAAAGAAGAGAGACTCTCAGGTTATAGAAGTGAAGTTATTTAGAAATTTGCAGACTATAAGTATAAATGCTCACATCTACAATTTTTCTGAGCAGACAATACAATGAACCGGGATAATGGTGTCTGCAATGCAGAGTATATCCGCATTAGGAGTTTAATGCAAACCTAGCCCAGCTGGTCAGACATAAGAACTCCCTGTCAATCATCAAATCCACACTTTTTTTGCATCACGAACTTGGGGCACATGGCTAAATTGATGGCTCAGCAGTTAAGAGCACTGGCTGCTCTTCCAGAAGACCGGGGTTTAACTTTAAGCACCTACATGGTGGCTCACAACCATCTGTAACTCCAGTTCCAGATGTGACACCCTCTGTGAGCCTCTGTTTGCACTGCACGCATGTGGCACACATACATATACATAGGCAAAACACCCACATACATGCAATAAAAATAAATAAGTCTCTTTTAAAAAGGAAGTTGGAGGCCAGGCGCAGTGGCACACGCCTGTAATCCCAGCACTCAGGGAGGCAGAGGCAGGTGGATCTCTGTGAGTTTGAGGCCAGCCTGGTCTACAAATCCAGTCCAGGACAGCCAAGGCTACACAGAGAAAAACCTTGTCTTGAAAAAACAAGAAGAAACAAGCAAAACAAACAAACAAACAAACAAAAAGGACTTAGAGCACATGCTGGAAATTTGCATCTGTCTAACACTGCACTGGACTATGCAGGTAGGAACAGTCAGACACAAACAGAATTTGTGTTCATGAAACTTGAAGTCACCAACCAGGCGATGGTGACACATGCCTTTAATCCGAGGCAGAAGCAGACAGGTCTACAGAGTGAGTTCCAGGACAGCCAAGGCTTCACAGAGAAACCCTGTATCAAAAAACCGAAACAAAACAGAAACCAAAAAAGAGAAACTTGCAGCCAAAGAGCATGTTTTCATATTCTTTTCCTATGTCTGTCAATTATAGAGCGTATGGAAGACCCTCCAGAACTCGGCTCCCGGAACACTTCCTCCAGCATCCTGGAAAAGTTCACCCACAACAGTGAGAATACTCACTTTGTCGTTGTTCCTTAAGGTCAATGGCACTTCATAGACTTCACAGGGAGCGTAGTTCTGGAATATGATTTCTGACGGGAAGGGCTGGAATAAGGCCTGATCCAAGTCAACTCCGGAGTACTGCAGTTGGGAGACAAAATTATTAAGACCGTGGGATAGTGGCAAAGAAGATGACTGGGGTAAATCATGCAAAGATCTGATAAAGAACATCGGGGTCACTCAAAAGGGGGAACCACCATAACGACGGTTAAAATTAGTGAAGTTGTGTTCATGGACTTTACTACAAAAGGAGGCAGAAAATGTGGGAGCTGGGGAGCCAGCATAGAGCTTACAGCACAAGCATAAGGACCTGAGTTCTGATCTCGAGGATCCACTTAAGAGGCCATGCATGCACGGTGGCGCATGCCTGTAACCCCAAGACTGGGGAGGCAAAGGTAGGTGGATCTCTAGGACACACTAGCTTACCAGACCCCAGTAAGAGAACCTCAAAAAAACAAGGTGGATGGCTCCTCAAAAACAGGACCCAGGGTTGACCTTGGGCTATACTCTTGTATGCGCACACGCGCACACACACACACACACACACACACACACACACACACACACTAAAAGGCCATTTAGTCTCCAGTTAAAACAGAAATAAGCTAATAAGACCACTAACCCAGACTCTGATATCTAAACACGGTAAATGAGATCGTTTGACCCAGCTACAGTGTGACAATAAATCAAGAGCTCTATTGACCAATGTCTGCTGTAGCTGAGCACACTTCTCAGCCACACCGCTAACAAGATCACAAGGAATTGCTGGCTGTGCTCCAGGAAAAAAGCATGTATGTGAGGATAGAGAGCACAGTGGATAAGGACAATTGGGTTACGCCTGCTCTGTGCATTAGACTGTGGGGCTGAGATATGTATAGAACTCTTAAACCTGTAGTAAGATTAGAGAAGCAGAGAAGAGACTGGAGTTCCAAAACTTGTTGAGGAATGATAGGACTCTGGAGGGCTTTACTCTCGTCGATTTGTGGATGCATGTGCCATGGAATAAGGATGGGCTAGGGTCCCTCAGTCCTGCAGTGCTGGCACTCAGGGAGGTCTGGCACCAGCAACCAGGTCCCCCCCCCCCATACACACCAGAGAGGAGAGATAGTCGCCAGAGGATTTGGATAATTTATGCACTCTTCCTTTTGTGAATTTTATGGCTCACAACTAAGAATGCTTTATAAACTGCAAAAAAAGGTGACAGATTGTAATTATATAAACCAGCCATAAATACAAGGAAACAGGATGTCATAAATGAAAGCCAGCACAAACAAGAGATGGCAGAAACTGCAGTATGACTGACTCCCAGAAACACAGGGCTCAGAATTCTGGCAGGGTTAGAAATGATAAGAAAGTGAATGCAAATTCTACACCTTACGTGATAATGGGACCACAGAGGAGTTCCGTGCCTGTGTTTAATAGCAGACTGAGGTGTTACTGCTCTGGAGATAGGTTGAAAGAGCATCCAGACCAAGAAGACAAATAGAGATGAGGGAAAATTCAGAAGACAAGTAAAATGGGCAGGAGATAAATCAAAAGTCCTGAAATAGGTGCATGTGGAGGCCCAGAATGAACAAGCAGAAGGGAAGGAGGCATGATGGACAGAACAATGGCAGTGAACTTTCTATAGCCGATGATGAGCCAAGACAAATATGAAGGAGGCCATGTGAACTCAAGTAGGATGAAAAAGAAATCCATACCTAGGCAGAGAGTTTATAACCATTGAAAACAGAGGTGAAAATGTGCAAGAGATACTAACAGGAAAAGGAGAGCATGTTTTCTAACCAAGAAACAAAGAAGTGTTGAGTGCTCAATTAACAAAGGACAAAAGATGTGAAAATATCATCATTTCAACCCTGGGGAAATAAGTCCAAGCCAGGCAACCAAACAACCAACCAAACAAAACCTTCTGTAGAAATAATATTCTTTACCCTAAAAAACCTCCCTTTAACAAAGAAGTTCACACAGAAACATTTTTAGGAAGATAAAAATGACAAGTTTAACAACTTTAACACTGGAGGGTATTCTCCGCGAGGAAGAAATTGATCTTAGATCTTTGGATATAGGTGAATGAGAGAAGAATTATAAAAGGCTGACTGTCTGATCAGTCTAAATGAACCCGGGCCATACAGACGATGATAGCAAGAACTTCTTACCATGGGAGCTGTGCACCAGCCAGACATCCCACACGGACCCGAGCTGGGCCCAGCCTGGCGGCCTGCTGGACTGCTCTGAGTTCCACTGGGCACTTGCTTTTTATCAGAGAGACCACCAGCATCATGAGATGAGGGGAATTAGTCAGAAATGAAAGGGCACACCTTGTGACACTCCACTCATATAAAGGAAAATCTAATCTATACTGGGAAGGGAGGGTTAGTAATCTTTTGGAGGAAAAGGGAGAGGAAATGAGTGGGAAGTTGGCACAAGTAACATTCTAGGGAGGGCAGTTGTTGAATGAGCCTGCTTCCATGGCAAGCCACCTTAAAGGATGAGTATCAGAGAATTGTTGCTGGCAAGCAGTGAAAATTCTAGGTGCTTGTTTGCTTTTGCGGTACTGCAGACTGAATCTAGGTCTGTTGCAGACCTGTGCTCTGAGCTACATTCTCAGCCCCACAACGCAACGAAAATCTTAATCACACCACTCCATTTTTATATACTTTGTACTTTAAAACACAGAATGAGAAAACAATTTAAAAAGCACAAAGCAAACATTCACGAATACAGGGAAGATATAGCAACTAGAAGAGATGAGAGTACAATTTGCCTTCCAGTAAACACAGGTTCCAGTGTGTGTCAAGTTCCTCTCCACGTGCTGGACACAGAGTAGAGAACAGAGCCACCAACAGTCCTGGCCTCGAAGGGCTGAGCTGTAACCCTTCCAGGGCTTCACACTTGCTCTTCCTTCTGATTGGAATGCCCTTCCGTGTAGCTCAGGGAGGCTTTCCCACAGCTTCCTGTCCAGCAGGGCAGACACTCTCCCCATTCTCTCTCATGAGAATCATTTCTGCATGTGAAGAGGAGTGTCTTAGTTAGGGTCTTATTGCTGTGAGGAGATACTGTGACCACAGCAACTCTTATAAAAGGAAACATTTAATGAGGGCTGGCACGCACACGCACTCGCGCGTGCACGCACACACACACACACACACACACACACACACACACACACACACACAC